TTTTTTTTTTTTTTTTATCATCTTTCCTACCATAACATATATTCTTTTGGGTCCTATATATAGTCCATGATTGTATGACTTTTACATGACTTTGAAAAAGTTAGAATTGTATTAGATACACAATATTTTTTGTATTTTCTCTCAATTATTAATAAAATTTTCCTTCCTCTGCTATATTATCTTGTTATTCTTGTGTTGTGATTGCTACTTCATACTGTGCCATATAATCTCATCTTCAATTCCTAACAAGTGGTATAAGAGCCAAGTTTGTTATTCTTCGTGGGTTTTGATTTCTTTTTGGGATGGTAACCTTGAAATATGATATTCCACTTTTGGATCGTAACATAAGATTCTCATCGTGACAGGTAAATATGCGAGCAGTGCTCGCTCATATGGGGATGCCCTCAAATTGGTCGTTGGAGGAAAAACAATGTAATGATCGAATCAAATTCATCTTCTTCTTTCGAATCACATTTTTTAGGACGTTTTGAAGGAGAAAACCTCAGCTGTGTTATGGTTGAAATCAAAGTAATTGTGCGTGACCAGGAGACTAACTAGTATATTGCACATGAAGTGGCGTTTGTATTCCTACCTTATGATAGAAGGCACATCTCTAAAAAAAATTATATAGTTGTGTTGCACATGAAGTAGCGCTTTTAAAAAAATTGTAGTTAATTTGGAGACCTTGGACGTTAAATTAGATGAAAAAAACTTGGGGTTAATTTTGTTGTGTTCATTGCTTGTTTTATACATGTTATTTAAAGATACGATATTATAATTCATGATATTTTCAACGTTGAGAAAGTTTATGATGCTTTATTTTCAAAGAAGATGATGAAGCATCTCGTTGGATATGAGGCTCATGTAAAATGTCTTGTTGTTCATGGTTAGTTATGAGAGGGGCATTTTGAAATCTAACTCCATTAATAAAGTTTGTAACTATTGTAAGAAGAAGGGGTCTATAAAGAGGGATTGCGACAAGTTGCAAAAGAGAGAAAAATTGCCTGCAATTAGGAAGGGAAAGCAATCAAAAACTTCAGGTAAAGTCAATATTGCAGAAAGTTACTACATTGATGGAGAGGTTTTGATTATTTCTGAATGCGAGTTCAAACTTGACGAGGACTAGACTCTTGATACAACTTCTTCTTTTCATATATGTCCCAATTGGGATCTATTTTCAACATACGAAGAAGTTTTCAAATGTGTTGCCGTGATGTGTAATAATACACCTTGTCGGATAGCTAGTATTGGAAGAATCAGAATCAAAATGTTTGAGGCATAGTTAGGACACTTGATGAAGTGAGGCATGTCCCAGATTTGAAGAAAAATTTGATTTATTTAAGTACTCTTGATTCAAAAGAGTACAACTACACTGGTGAAGGTGGAGTCCTGAAAGTTAGCAAAAATAATTAGGTTGTATTGCAGGGACAGAAAAGATCT